TCAACAATAGATAAGTAGCTAAAGAAAATAGAGTATGATTATAGCACAGAACTCTATGAACCATTAAATAAATATGGTTTCACTGTATGTACTGGGGTGAAATAGTCGCGTTGCTTGAGAGAAAGTAAGTTGGCATTATCCACTTATATTTAAAATATGATACATTTTATATGTGCATTTGTACAAATATAAATGCATAGAAAAATTGCTTGGAATAGATACACACAAAATTATTACAGGAATTCTCTCTTGGGACAGACCCGGGGCTGAGGGGACTTTATATTTTACCCTGTATGTTCTATACTAGTTGAGTTATTTTTAACAATGAAAATGCCATTATGTTATTTGTATAATAAAAAAAATAAGTTCACTGTAAAAAATGAATAGGAAATAAACAGAAAATTCCAAATAACTTTGTAGGAAAAAAAAGCCATGAAATTGCAAGCAAAACTATTCCTCAACCAAGGCAGGAAAAGCTATATCGGATTTATTTCAGTTTAGCTATAAAAGTGAAATAAAACTGCCAAAGCAGAGACTTAAAATGCACAGACACTTACTACCAAGCTCTGATTTACAAGTGTTCTTTGTGTATTAAGTAAAGATTTATTGTTAACTTTGAAAACGATGAGGAAACAAGGAAGTGGTCCTTAAATACTAGGGTTCCCTGAATGCAGAGGGGTTTGAAGACAGTCCAAGGGTCCTCTGGTTCTGGGAGCAATACTTCCCTTATTCTATGGGGCACAGTCTGATTCATCTATTTCATCAGGCGCAGTGTAGGGGGTGCACGAAATGAGTGAGGGGTGTCAAAAGGTACAATCTTTCAGTTATAAGATAAATATGTCCTGGGGATGTAATGTACAGCATGGTGACTATAGTTAATAATACTGTATTGTATATTTGAAAGTTACTAAGAGAGTAAATCTCAAACGTTCTCATCACAAGCAAAGAAATTGTAGCTCTATGTGGTGAAGGATGTTAACTAGACTTGTGGTACTCATTTCGCAATACGTACACAGATCAAATCAATATGATGTACACTTGAAACTAAGATAATGTTATATGTCAATTATATTTCAATGAAAAAAATGCTGTTTGAGACCCATTAAACACCAGTCCACAGTTAACCTCTTAGTGATGCCACAGGAGGGTTAATGATCTTGCTCAACCCACCTTTCGAGACTTGTCACATCAGCTTCTGAGGCGCCCACTCGTGCACCCATGGCTCAGACACACCACACCCTTTCATGTGTCCATGTCTGAGCAAACATTGCTCCATTCTGGGGTAGTCTTTTCTACCTCCTTCTCCCTCTAGTAAAATGCTCATCCTTGCCATGCTTGCTTCATGGGCTTTCTCTTCTCTAGTTCCTACCTGGCCAGGCAGTTAGCTATGCCCATTTCTGTGCTCTCAAGCCATAGCAAATGGAAAATTTTTATTTCTGATAATGTAATACACGCAGAGAGTTTACAAACTCCAATAGAGCTACAAGGCTGAGGACCAAACACATGCCCACCACACTCTAACTCCAGCTCTCCAGAGGCCACTGCTTACAGTTCTTCCATCACTGCCTCTGGATTTCACTCCTTATTGATACAGAACATGCTTATGCTGCTATGTTTTTTATTTTAGATGCTGCCAAGTGACTTCCTATTGCAGAGTGGGATTATTTTGTCATTTTTACTGCCCTACTTTCCCTCCTAATGGTCCTTCTCCCATTACAGTTATATTGAAATTTTAGTTAACATAATGTTCAGTATGTATGTGATTAGGATTATAAATCCTGTTTACCTTGGGTTATGTTTTCTTTCTTGTATACCTTAGTTTTTTTCTGAAATTAAGAAATACTTTTATTATTTGTTTTCTGATAAGGTAACTTTTAGGCAAACATCTGAAAGAAGAAAGGGAGGGAACCATGGGGACATTTGGGAGGAAAAAATTTCACACAGAGGCAATTTCTCGTTCAAAGGCCCTGGGGTGGGATTGTGCTGGGAGTGTCTGAGATGTAGCAAGGTGAGTGTGGGTGTAGGCCATGGTGACAACTTTGGATTTTATTCTGAATATGATGGGAAGCCAATGAAGATTCTGAACAGAAGGATGACGTGGTCAAACTGCTGTTTTAAAGAGATCACCTAGACTGCTGTAGTGGGCAAAAGCATCATCATAGCAAGGGTGTAAGCAGGGAGGCCATGGACAGGCTATTGTAAAAGTCCAGGAAAGAGAGGATGGTGGCTTGAACCAGAGTGGTAGCAGTAGAAATGTTATAGCATTTGAATTCTGGGTATATTTTGAAGGTAGAATTTCCTTGTAGCTAGGATGGGAGTGTGAGATAAAGAGCCCATTAATTCCTATTCTGCCCCTTTGTATATAATAGAGAAAAGGTACTGAGGGATCAAGAATGTTAGTGACTTATGCCAGGCTACACAGCCAGTCAGAAGAAAGCACCTGTCATATTGACTGGCACATAGTAGGCACTCATTAAAAATGGGTTTCACTTCCTTTGTGGCAGAGATATCTAGACTTCAGATCCAGTGCCATTTTCAGAATCCTATCCCATCACTTCCGTGAGTTACAACTTTATATGTTTATTTCTACCAATAATCAATCAACTAACTAACCAGCCAACAAATTAACCAAAAGTATTTATGGGTATTCATGTCGTTTCCAGGTTTGTGGAAACAGAAGAGATAATGCTGGTTTTAATGACATCAACAACAACAACAAACATTTACTGAGTAACTGCCATCTGTTAGGTACTTTTCATTCATTATCTCATTTAATTCTTATAGCAACCTAAGGGGACTACACAACTATTACCTCTGTTTTACAGAAGAGGAAAGGGAGGCTCAGAGAAGGTAAAATCGTTCCCAGGGCCACACACAATAAATAGTTCGGCCAGTATTTGGACTCAGCTCATCTTAGAAAATATAACCCCTGTGTCAAGAGATCTTATGAAAGACATCAGTCTTCTTGGCAAGAAGTGATCAGTGACCACTACATGTGAGTGCATAAATAAAGTGGTCCATCTTTGTGGTCTGGAAATCAGAAAAGGGAGAGATTGATCTAGAATGTAAGTTTGATTTTGAAGTATGGGTAGGATTTAGGCAGAATGAGAGGAAAGAAGATGGGGTCTTAAATGATAGGTGGGGGAGGGGTAGTAGAGTCTAATCAAGGGCCTATAGAGGTTGAAGTGGACGCCACTGCAAGGGGTCAGAGAGAAGCCTGGCCTGGCTGTATGAAAAGGTTCAGGCCAAGAAGTGGTGGCATAATTGGGCTGCACCTCCAATGCTGGTCTACCTGACAATACTCAAAAGTTGTTAGTGGAGAAATCTTAAATTTTCTGTTGACGTAGGGTAGAGGCCCATTTGAGGCCTTTATAGGCCCTAGGCACCCTTACTTTTAGGGAACCCCCACCCTACGTCATAAAAAGTGCTAAAATGCATTCACATCTCCCATTAAATACAACTTGTATATAACTATATGCAACAGAATTTTACAATCTTCCTAGTTTGGTTTCAGATTTGCTGAGGCCCTAAGCCAACTGACGCTACCTTCCAAAGTGAGCTGTGAGATGGCTACACAAAACTAATAAAACAAGGTTCCAGAAGACCACTGTTTTGACTCTTAGACCCTTCACCTGCATTGAGGGTATAAAAGAGTCAGCAAGGTGAAGATCAAGAGGGAATTTTTAGCAAGAATTGTTGGTGAGTCTCGCCCACTCTGCCTTTAAGGGAGGAAAGGGCATCTGCACCTTTCACATCAAGTGTAGAAGGAGGGGCCCTAAGGAGACCACTCAGAGAGCTTAAATATTTCCCCTGTACTTTAAGCAACACAGTGGACTGCGGTCTAACTTACACCCCAGGAATCTAGAGTGTGAGAATAGTGGGTGAGCCTCTGATAGTGAAGTAGAGAGAGTGGTCAACACTCTCAAAGTGTGTTTGGGGAAAGAAGACACAGGAGTCTCCCACGGATCAGAGATGAGCTGCTTGCATGGCAGAGCTGGATAAGTTGCCTTAGCCCTTGACCAAGTGGGCTATGTGAAGGGGCAAGCAAATTGCTAGACTCTCAGGAGAAGGAGGAGAAGGCAACCTGCAGGGGAGAGATCCCAATGACTGGTGGAGGGTCTCCAAAGAGCCTATGGGGGCATCCCAATGGAGAAAGGGTCAGCTTTTCAGTCTCTTTCTGATGGTATCTCCTGATGACATGAGGCTGCCTGCCCCTTTTTCCTCCTTCCTTCCTGTGCCCCTCAGCCATAGTTACCCAAATGGGAAAGAAGGTTAATTGTGAAAAATGATAGAAGTAACTAATCGTATTCTCCCCAATGCATGGAATAAATTTAAAAGGAACCCAAATAAAATCACCTTATGGCTACATCTCAAGAGTCATGTTTGTTCCACCAAATGGTTATGTATGTGAGCTGAATTTAGTTGACAAAAAATTACACGTTGTTGCCACTCAATTGAATACTTGCTAATTTTGACTATGCAGATTTTTTCCCCATATTTTTGAGGCAACACCTTATTTTAATCTTCTATCTTAAACATTTTTATATGGCTTTAAAAAGCTCACATGTCCTATAGTACCTAATGGGTAAAATGACCATGGGATGTATAAGCCAGATCTGTGGGTTGGATCCTGAAGATGTGAGTTTAAGTCCAGTTCTGATACTGAGGTCTGTGACTCGGGCAAGTCAGTTCTCCTCTCTGGGCCCTGGCTTTATCATCTGTGAAGTGAGGAGGCTGGGCCAGTTGGCCTCTCCTGTCCTGACTGGTTTGGACTCATGTCTCTGGGATTTCATTGGTAGCTCGTGGAGCCTGGCAGATAGTTTAAAAAAATATTTGTGTGCTTAATGAATAAATCAGTGGCAGCTGGAGCCCACCCTATGCCCTTCCATCTTTGCCCTTGTATCTCTTTGGAACACCAGGGTACCTAGTTGTCTTTGGGTCAGAGGAGGAGTCTGTTCCTGCCCCTGAGGGACAAGCAGGCACGCAGAGACTCCTCCTACCTTGTTGAGGGTGTTGAGAGCTGCCTGGGCTGCCGTGAGCGCTGGCTCTGCTTTGGCCAGGTCTTCCTCACAGTCCTTCTGCTTCTGCTTCACCTCCAGCATGATGAGGGCCACCTTCCGCTCCTCCTCATCTGCGATGGCTTTCTCTCTGCTCACTTTGTCTGTCTCTATGCCCACCACCTGAATCAGCTTGTCTGCATCTTCATTCTTCTGCTTTAGCTCCACTTCCTGGGTGGCCAGTTTGGCTTTCAGATCATCCACCTGTAGGAGAGAAGCACCAGGCTTACCAAGAGTAGTGGGACTTTGGACATGGCCCTGGGGATCTGACCTGCAGAGCAGAAAAGAATGCCAACTCTTGATGTGAAGGTGCAAAGGCTAAGCTCTCTGCTTGGACCAAGCTCCCTGACCTGGGAAAGGAAAGGAACACTGAACTCCTTCTTCTCTCCTCTCCAGTAAATGTGGTAGAAGATTCTAAGCAACACATGCCTTGACCTTTCTTTCCCTTGATGCCCAAATGACTTTGGCTCCTTCTCCCTGACATTGGTGCCTATGTCTTATAAAACTTCATGTGCCTAACATAACACTTCACATATAGTAGGCCATTAAAAAATAAGTCATTATTTAATTGAAATTGGTCAATGTGGAGTGTACCAAGGATTTAGCAAGCTGAAAAAAGGGAGGGTCTATTGTGCATCCTGACAAACTGAATATAGGAACAGACAATGGCCAGGCCATATATAAAAGTGGAATTCTGACTCACAATCTGCAGCAAACAACTTGCCCGGGAACCAATCCATTATCTATAATAACCAGCTCAGGAAGCCAGCCTGTTGTAGGTCAGACTTATAGGAAGTCAGACTCCTGTCTAGCTAACAATCTAGAAAGACAAACAATAACTTCTGTAACAATTGGTCCCAAATGGCCAGGACTTGATTAATAACTGAGAACTTCTTTACTTTTTGTCTCTGCTTCCAACTTAGGACCAACTAGAGAAAGCCAAACATGTACCCCTAAGGATCACACAGGATGCCCTTCTTCTAGTCAGCCCACCTCTGGCTTCCCCAGGCCAACAGTCTCCATCAGGGTACACTGAGGCCTCTCCTTTCTTCCCACTGGAAAGCCCTCCTACTCCTCTGCCTGCCTTTGTGTCTTTGCCAAGACACAGGTGATGGTGGCTGACTCTCTTGCTAGGGCAAGCTCTGGATAAAGAGCTTTTGCTCGTTCTCATTTGGTTGGTCTTCATTTATTTCCATGATCCTTACAAGAAATAGATGACATGGTTGAAGTGGAACAGCTAGAAATCCAATGGTTGAGACTAGCTGGGTTCCCCATCCAGCCTCCATATTCATATGCATTTTGCAGGCAGTAATGAAGTCATGGGAATATCAGCACCTAGGAAATTGTTTATTTCTCTGATGAGCTGGAGAGGGAGGAATGGTTTGCTATGTATAGTCGATTCAGTAGCGTGTGGCGGTTCTCAGAGTGTGGTCCCTGGACTGCAGCATCAGCATCATCAGGGTACTTGTTGGAAATGCACATTCTCAGGCCCACTCCAGACCTACTGAATCAGAAATTCTGGAGGTGGGGCCTGGCAATCTGTGTTTTAACAGACCCTCTGGGGGATTCTGATGCCCGCCTGGGTTTGAGAATCACTGGTCTAGTCTTATGGCCCTTTCACACGCAAAGAGAAGACTCAGATCTATTTATTTCTGGAAAATAAAAAAGCCATTTACATTTGCAATATGGCCCATAAACTTTACATTCCAGAATGACCTCTTGTCCCTCATTTTTCCGCAGTCTATTTCACGCAACAACCAAAGATTACTTCAGAGCTCCTGGAACACGTCAAACAGATTCAAATGCTTTATGATGCAAAATGCATAAGGGGAAAAATAAAACAGAGGCTTAGATGTTGCTGATAATTTCCTTTTCATGGTAGATCAAAAGGAAAGAAAAGGAAAGGGGGGAAAAAAAAAGAATGCTCTTTAATTTTGTGTATTCATAGAAACTGGAGACTTTGCCATAACCTCAGATGGAGGCCTGCTCCCTAGAATGCGTCTTATATCCCCATGGTGGAAGGTTAATCCATTTCCATCTCCCGTTGTTCAGCTGCAGAGAGTTATTTCTACAAGGACAAAGATGCAATTGTAAATCAAAATGACTGAGCCACATAATCACTCCAGTCAGCAAACACACCAGTAAGTTTTTGTTCCTTTTTAAATCTTGGGAGATTTGAGAAAATTGAAGTGGTTTTTCTTTGTTGTTGTTATTGTTGTTTGTTTTATTGATTGCAGATATGGCTTATGACCTCAGGCCCAAGGTACATAATCACCAGCACTGTGAATGGGAGCTTTATAGCTCTTAAGCTGTGACATGGAGCAACACGAGGGTCTCGCCAGTCAGAATTAGGCTGCTCCCACAAAGCTAGAGAGAAGGCCTGACTCAGGTCCATTTTATGGCTCTTCTGCAATAGAACCGGAAATTGAAATATGGTTATTTTAAATTGTCCTCTTCTCTTTTTCCCTTAGTCAAAGAATTCGGGCCACATTCTGGATCTCTTTTAATTTAGACACTCCCCACACCTGGAGAGGAAGATTAAGAGGGAGAGTGCCACAAACACTGGAGAGACCCTGTCCCGCAGTCTTGCTGGCCCCATGAATACTGACCACGTGTGATAAGTGGGGGGATGTTGACTGAGTGAAGTGATGACAGGATGGTGGCGGGAGACACTTCCTTCTTCAAGGACCAGGCACATGATGCTAAACAGCGAGGACAAGACTCCCAGGAACTTCCCCCTAGAGCTCCAGAAGAAGAAGAGGGAACCCAGGATAATCAATAGCAAAAAACCCTCCACTGAGGGCTGGAGGCCCAGGGATATCCTCCTTCTTAGTTCTGATTCCATAGAGTCACCCAACACTTTCTGATATGAATTTGGACTGCAAGCAGGCTTTCCTCTTAGATATAGACGTTTCCCATCTATAGCCATCTGTTATGTTTGCTTGCCTATCAGCAAGTTTTCATTCCTGTTCTGGTAACATAGTTTGATTTTCCTTTGGAGGACTCCCCCTTCCCAAGTCCTTGTAGTTTGGGTGAGGCTGACTCCAGTGGTCGCATTTGATCCTGGCCTGGCCAGTGAGAATGTCCAAGTCAAAGAGATTGGTCCAACTATAGGCAAACCAATGACTCGAAGAGGCCAATCAGAGCCATTGTGCATTCATGCAGAGACTTGGCCAAAAATACTGGAAAAGAGGCACTCTTTTTTTATGCTGGGGTTGCAAAGCAGACAGAATACAAGTCTGAGGTTGTCAGGGCCATGGGGGTGGCCTGCCTGAACAAGGATATCTAGGGAGTGTCTAGCTGCAGCGCTGTCCAAATTAAGCTCTATCCCTTACTTTTCAGTCATATGAATCAGTTCATTTCCTTTTATTTTGTTTTGCTGTTTGCCTAAACCTACTTTAGTTGGATTTTGATTAGTTGCCGTCAAAAAGGTCCTGATAGATATATCATGTAATCTCAGAATTTTCTCTCCTCTTTTCCCCTCCCCTCCCTTTGCCTTCCCCCTCCCCTTCCCCTCCCCTCTGCTGTCCCTTCCTATCCTCTCCCCTCCTCTTCCCTCCCTTCCCCTCCTTCTTTTTCCCCCTCCATTCCCTCCTGTCTTTTCCTTCTTTCCATTCTTGTTTTTTCCTTCTTGCTAGGTGAATGAGTTAGTTTTCTTTACTTGCAACCAAAACAGTCCTGATGAATAATCATCGGAAATTATTAACTGTCAACTTCACTTAAGTTTGGTGGCCTGAGATTATTTGAAACCCTAAAATAAATTGGATTTAAAAGTTTCCAGATTGACAGACTTGTGGATTAAATCCTATATGCAGGGAAATGTTTATGAACATTTCTTCAACCCTCAGCCCCTCTTCCTCATAAATACATCTGTGGTAGATACAGAAGCAAGGGTGACTGTCGGTTCTGAGGATGTCAGGGGGAGACAAAGTGAGACCCAAGTCAGGGCTGGGGGCTCTGACTGTGTCAAGAGAGAGAACACACGTTATACAAAGTGCAAAGTCTTCAGCTGAAGCTGAAGCGAAGACAGAAGATGCCACCTAAAGACCCAGCGGGACCAGTCACTGTCATCAGAGCCAAGGAGAACTGGAGGACTACACTATGATGTTTCATCAGTTGGCTCCAGAAACGCAACACCACAGAGACAAGGAGGACAAGATTCTTCGGAGGGAAACAGCCCAGAGATAGAGTTAGCACTCTGAACTGACAGCCCTCCAAAGACTGAGTTTTCATCCTGAAGTGACTGAGTCAATCTGAAATATAAGATTAAGAACTTTCTGTTCTTAAGTGAAAAAGACGGATCCAGAGCTAAGTTTAATTCAATTAGAGGAAAATAAAGCACTTTTATGACCAGCTGAGTCTAAGCATGAAATGATAAATCTAACATTTATAAACTCTACATTACCATACAATTGTTAATTATTGTCATTATTACCATGATCATCACTACTTTTAATGCTACTGTGATGGCTAAATAAATTTGGAGCCTGAGACGGAGCTGTGAGATTCATTTAGCCTATTCCTGCCAGATTATGTACACCAAAAGCTGTCATAACTCGGTGGTGGGACAGTGATGCAACATCATTCAATATGTCACCCTTATACCAAGATTATAATGATGTGCTTCAGTCCTTTTCTACCAAAGGGACAATTCCAGCTGCAGAGTTTATATCAGAATTAGGAACCACAGACACCATTTTAACAAGAAGAATCATCATTATAACCATCAATAAGTATGGAATATACACCACGTACACAGTATGGCCAAGACCCATTGTTGCCCCCAACTCTGAGCGTGTAGGTAATTTTAGAACTAGTTCATTTGTTTATTTGCCTACCCATCTATCATCTATCGATCTATCCATTTATAGAATACCTACCACATGCCAAGGAATCCTGGTTTCTGCCCTGAAGTACAGATAACAGTATGACATGATATGCTCAAGAGAAGAAACGAAATTCAAGGATGGAACCACAGAGAAGGGAATACATAACTGTTCAGGACTTAGAAAGGCTTCTGGGCAGGGGAGTAGCAAAGTGTTTAGGTCTCGACAATGAAAAGCTGCCAAGGTGGGACCACAGGTGAAGGCACAGAGATGTCAATTAGTTGTGGAGTCTTGGGGGACTCAGTGCTGTTGGACTTCAGGGCACGTTGTGGTAGACTAGAGGAAGAAAAGAGTGGAGCAATATGCAAGGGTACAATTTAAAAAGTTCCAGAAAAGTTCAAAGAATCTGAACTGCAATGTCTAAATCATTAAGACCTATTAAAGAGAATACTCAGACTTGTGGTTTGAGCAAATATCAGTCTAAGAGCAGGACAGAGGTTGGGCCAGAGCTGTGCTGTCTGGTTTGGTAGCCACTAGTCACATGTGGTTAAGGAGCACTTAGAATGTGGCATGTTCCCACTGAGATGTGCTGGAGGTATAATGATACACACTAGTTTTTGAAGCCTGGTAGGAAAAAAATGGAAAATGTTTCATTAATAACTATTTTACATTGAATAAATGTCACAATGATAATATTTTGGATATATTGGGTTAAATAGAATATATCATAAAATTATATACAGTTAAAATATATTAATAAATAAAATTCACTTGCTTCATTTTACTTTTTTTGATGCAGCTACTAGAAAATGTAATTTGCATGCATGACTTGCAGCGTATTTCTATTGGATAGAGCTGGTCTAATAGCTTGTCAGAGTACAGTCAAGGAGACTAAATAGAATGCTATTAATTCATTAATTCATTAATTCAACAAATATTTAGTGAGTGTTCACTCTGTCCAGGCACTGTTTTAGGCACTGGGGATACAACAGCGAACAAAAGAGACAAAGATTCCTATCCTTAAAGAGCTTGGAACCAACAGATGGAAATAGACAGCAAGAAATAATCATAAGTAAATTATGTAATATGTTAGACAAGGGTAAGTGCTATGGAAAAAGATAAAGTAGAGCAGAACAAGGGGGTCAGGAGTGGTGTGGGGTTGCAATTTAAAATGGGGTCATCAGGGCAGGATTCATTGTGAAGGTGAATTTGAGCAAAGAATTGAAGGAGATGAGGGAGTGAGCCATGGATATAAGAGGGAAGAACATCCCAGGTAGACAGAAAAGCCAATGCAAAGGCCTGGTGTGTCTGAGGAAAGAGCAAAGAAGCAGCGTGGATGGAGAGGAGTGTCCCAGGGATGGGTATAGGAGATGAGGTCTGAGAGTTAATGGAGCAGGGCTGGGAAGGAAATTGGAAGCCACTGTACTGCAGGAAATAGGGGTTATCTCAGCGTTTTGAGCAAAAAAGGGACATGATCTGATTTATGTTTTAAACTGGTCGCTCTGTCTGCTCAGTTGATGCTAGACTATAGAGGGGCCAAAGTAGAGGCAGACAAATTAGTTAGAATGGTATTGTGGATATCCAGGTAAAAGATGTCAGTGGCTCAGAGTAGAGTAGTAGCAGTGTAGGAGGTGCAAAGTGGTGGGATTCTGAGCATATCTGAAGTTAGAGCCAATAGTGATTTTCTGATGGACTGGCTGTAGGTTGTGAGACAAAGAGAGGAATGAGAAGAGCCAAGGATGACCCCAGGGATTTTGGCCTGATGGGTGATGTGAGACAGGTGAAGCAGGTTTGGGATGGGGGAGAGATTGGAGAGCTCAATTTATTGAAGTAATCCAGGTGAGAAGTATCTAAACTAAGACATTGAAAAGAGAATTACAGTAAGAGGGGTACCTATGACAGATATTTAGAAAACTTATAGAATTTGTTGATGCTTAAATACGGGAGGTGAGGGAAGGGGAGGAGTCTAAGATAAGGCCCAGCTTCTAGCCTGGGTAACTGGGTAGATAGAAGTATTTATTCACTGAAGCAGAAAATAAAGAAGAAGAAAGTGAAACTGATGTTAGGACTTGAGAGGATTCTCCATTAACTACATGCAGACAGAGCGGGATTTACTAATGGTATAACCAGGCTTCTCCTTGTTAAATAGAGATCACCTCAAACAGGAAAATAGACATCTATGCTTTCTTCATTGTCTGCTCAAAGGCCCAGAGTCTGTACAACATAGAACACTGGGTGCTGCTCTGTGGGAGTGCCAGAGTACCTTTCCCATTGCTTGCTCCCCAGCAAATGTCCTCTACACAGACTGACCAGCAATTCCCAGAGGATAAGTGGGTAGGAGATAGACCAGGGGTTGGTTGGGGTACAGAATGTTCTCAGGGTACCGTAGGTGGGGGGAGACAGGAAGAGGAAGAGGTGGAAGATGTCAAAAAAAATCTGGTAGTACTGCATTCTGGGATTCTATCTTATGCTGTTTTCTAGAAACTCAGAGATTGAGAGAACTAGAAAGTGATTGGGAGAGAAGATGCTACTTTTCTACAACAAAGGTGTATACCAGGTAAACTGCTAGGACCTGGACTTGGATCTGTGCACCTCAACCTGCCCTGAACTGTAGCTCTAAGAAGGGATTTTGGTCATGACACAAATGGAAAGAGAGCAGCATCACAAAATAATGGTTACATGCCATTTGTTGACAAACATTGAGTTTGAACAGATCTTACCATGTCTGAAGGTAAATAATAAAGAAAAAAAAAGTCTTTATATAAATACAGAACAAGAAAAGGACTGACATCTAGAAGACTAAGAAGGAGAACACAGCTCTGAAAATGACCCATTATAGCATCTAGAAAAAACATGGAGAAAGCTGTTTGGCATCATCAGTAGAATGGTTTCTGTGCATAGTTGTAGAAAAACAGGCTGAAATAAAAATACGAAAGGATGTGTTGGAAAGGGAAAAGGATGAGATGAGGAAGGATGATTAGGATATTAAAAATGTAATAGCAGAATTAAAGTCTTCATTGGAAGCATAAGAAGCAGAAGCAATATTACGCACTAGGAGATTAGTACTGCTGAGGATAAACTTGAAAAGCTCTCCTAGAACGTAGCAAAAAAGGCCAAAGGGATGAAAACAATGAGTGAGAACATAATAGATATGGGGCACAAGGAACCCATCCACTAATCATTGCTCCTGGAGGAGAAGCCAGACCAGATGAACAAAACCAGATAATAGAAGAAAAATTTCCTGAGCAGAAGAAACTCTATGTGTATAGATTGCAAGTGCCCACTGCATCCCAGTAAATGAACTGAAATCCTCTAGACAGATTACATCTATGAATCAAGCAACTGAAGTGAGGAGAAAGGACAAGTCAGAGGAAGGAAGTTCAACAGAGCGATTCCAAAGGCAAAGTTCTGAGAAAATGACAGTAAATGAAAGGTTAGATATCTACAGGAGCACGTGATGTCCAAGAATTAAATTGATGACAGTTTTAGTTAAACTGTGCAAATGCATGAAATTTCACCACCTTAGTGAGAGGCTGGCTGTGCTGCTGGTAAACAGGGTACAAAAAGAGGCCATCAAGGGACTAGCAATGTTTGATGGGCATGAGCAAGGGTAGAGAAGGTGCTAGAGTTGTCCCCAATTCTCAAGGGAAGAATAGTAAGTTGACTGAAATAAACTCATTCTATTTGGAAGAGTAAGTAGAAAATATGACAAGGACAGGATGACAGGGGCCTTCTTTTGATGGTCAACCACTTAGGAACATGGGCAAAAGCATGAAATGAGACAGGATTTGTTTAAGAAATTAGGTTCTAGGGCTCTTTGACAGATAATACAGAAAGACAAAAGAAACAAAAGAAAATTGCTGTAACCCTGCATCCATTTCTCTCAACCATTCATCTCTTTTGGTTTTGAAGATGGAAGGAAGGCGGACTGGAAAGGAAAGGAAAGTAGTGGAAAAGGAGATGGTAAAGAGGAAAAGAGAAGAGGAGCGTCAAGGGTTTCCAACATCAGTGAGAGGAAGCAGACCAGACCTGAAGCTGAGAGCGCACTTCTGCTGGGAGAGCTCAGCCCTAACTTTTGGCACTGTTTCTGATGGCACCGGGGCCTCTGGAAAACCATAAGTGATCCCCGGACCTTGATTGTGATCCCCCTAGTTCTCTGGAAAGGGGCTGCTCCCACTCCCTCTCAGTGCCCCGCAGGCAGGAGAGAGTGAAAGGGTGTTACTCACCTGGGCAGAGGTGCTATGGAGCTTCAGCAGCCCATTCTCAAGTCGCTCCATTTTGGACTTGAGCTCTCTTCCATTCTTGCGCAACAAGCTCTGGTAGAGCCTGATGAACTCCAGAAAGGATTTGGGAGTTGTGTAGTTGTAGCGCTGCTCATTGCTCAGATAAGACTGGGAGGTTTGGTTGACACTTGTGTGGACAAAAGCCATGAACTTGCTAATGGACTGCTTGACTGTGGGCTAAAATCAAAGAGCAGGAAATAAAGGATACCTTGTCATGAAGACTGGAAGTGACTGACTACCCCCGCTCATTGCTTCCCCACACGAGAAGTTGTGCTCCGACAACTCTATCCAAGCCAGATTTTTAACCCTAAAATCGTGGACATGGAATTCTCTGTACCCCGAGGTGAAGAGGATCTTGCGGAGTGTCTCCTTTTCCCTCTCACCTCAATGCTGTCCGTGTTCTGCAGGAAGCGGAGGCTGACAGACTCCAGTGCCTGCTGAGGCCACTCATGGAACCAGTCGATGGCCGTGCAGTTCACAATGGCTGGGAACTTCCTGCTACGGACCCTCAGCTTGTTCCCCACCGGGGAGAAACAGAGAGTCACCTGAGAAGTCAGAAGGGTGAGGAGAACCAGGAAGGTTAAAGAGAGACAGATACAGCTTTGGATTCTCTTTTTCCTGGAAAATTGGGAAGCACATCAAAAGAGACAAAATATGTATGTACAAAATCTGTAAATACTAGCCAGCCTTTCCAGCCAAGAAATTAAAAATGCTGGGACTGCATGAAGGAAGATGGAAGCCATTGCCCATGAAGCAGATGAGAAGCGCATCCTTGCAAAGGTGCTCAGGCTGAGAAGGGCACTTCACCCTCAACACCCACTCCCAAGACAACCAATAAAGACAGCTGTGTCCAAAACACCAGCAGGGGCTCTTGTGAACCACCTCTGGTCCTGCCTACCCTGGGCAGCAAATCCTTCTATACCTTCAGTTGTCGGCGGACTCGATCTACAAAGAACTTCCAGCAGTTCTCTCTGCTGTCAATCAGACCTTGGCTCTTGACTTCATTCCTCACATTGCTTATGATGCTCTCAACTTCATCATCTGAGTAGAGGTCTGGGATCTCTCCTGGGAAGACATGGAGCACAAATGGGCAGCTTTGGCATCTCTCTGCATGATGTAATTGGACACGAGAAGTTATCCAACCTTGGGACACGGCTCCTTTGTTCTTTAGGCCATGTTCCACCACTCTTGCTGGTGAACCTGGACAGACACCATAACTACTCTGAACCCAGCACAGGGGAATGATACTTTAAAGAATGGAACAGGGTGTATGGAACACTCCTGTCCTGGGTCAGCGTTGGTAGCGCAGCGCTTTCAATTGTCTTTTCTTCTTTTGCTTAGAGAATTTATTTATTAACCACTGTTAGTAGAAATTGTGCTCCTAAGGAGTTTAATATTTAGCAGAAAAAATAAAACATATGTAAAACAGCTACAAGACCATGAGTAAAAAGGTCCATGAGAAACATATGGGTAAGTCCTCATATTTAAGAAGAAGGAGCTATCGCTTTCTATTCAAGAAGAAAGAAAGAGAGAGAGCAGGTAAAGATTTTATTATGTGATAAGTATGACATGTTAAATAAATGGGAAAAAGATGAACTACTCTATGCATGGTATCAAGAAAACTCAAATCTGAAAACCAATTATGGTTGGATCCTTATATTCCACTGTACACTAGGATAAATTACAAATGGATCAATGATTTAACTACAAAAAAATAAAACCATAAAAATGATAGAAAAAATGAGAGAAGTCCTTTCTTCTTTTTTAAAGTTTGCTAAACCCTGGTCTAGCACAGCCTTCAGGGTTATCTAATTCTGATTCTTGTATTTAAAAAATTTTTTTTCAAGGTATGCTTTTTGGTGAGGAAGATTCCTCCTGAGCTAACATCTGCTCCCAATCTTCCTCTTTTTTTTTCTTCCCAAAGACCCAGTACATAGTTGTGTAACCTAGTTGTAAGTCCTTCTAGTTCTTCTATGTGGGATGTCACCACAGCATGGCTTGATGATCTGTGTGTAGGTCTGCACCCTGGATCTGAATCAGTCAACACTGGCCACCAAAGTGGAGTGTGCAACCTTGATCACTTAGCCACAGGGCTGACCCCGAGAAGTACTTTCACAATCTCTGAGTGGGGAAGGACTTTCTAACTATAACTCAATAGATATGCTTTAAAAGAAAGATAAATTTGATACATATAAACTGACAAATTTTATATAAAATATGCATTTTATATAAAAATAAAAAATTTTGCATGGTGAAAGCATCATAGGCAAAGTATAACAACAACAACAAAAGCTAAAGAATCACTTAAGAAAACATGACTTTTCCAAAGATATGCAAGTGGCCAATAGGTACATGAAAAGGTGCTTAATATCACTAATCATCAGGGAAAGGCAAGTCAAAATCACAGTGAGATAGCACCTCACACCTGTTAGGATGGCTATTATCAAAAAGACAAGAGATAACAAGTGTTGGCGAGGATGTGGAGAAAAGGGAACCCTTGGTGCACTGTTGGTAGGAATATAAACTGGTACAACCACTATGGAAAACAGCATGGAGGCTCCTCAAGAAATTAAAAATAGAAGTGCCATATGATCCAGCAATCCTACTTCTGGGTATATATCCAAAGAAGTGAAACCATCATCTTGAAGAGGTATCCGCACCCCTATGTTCATTGCAGCATTATTCATAATAGTCAAAGTCTGAAAACAACCTAAGTGTCCCTTAATGGATGAGTGGATCAAGAACGTATGGTAAATATATCTCCAATGGATTATTATTCACCCTTAAAAAGGAAGGAAATCTTGTCACTTGAAACAACATGGATGAACCTATAGGGTATTATGCTAAGTGAAATAAGCCAGACAAAGAAAGACAAATGCTACATGGTATCACTTATATGTGGAATCTAAAAGAAAAAGTCAAACTCATAGAAACAGAGAGCTGAGGGGTGGGAAAAATAGAGAGAGGTTGGTAAAAGGGTTCAGATTGTCAACTATAAGATGAATAAGGTCTGAGATCTAATGTATAAGATAGTGATTATAGCTGATAACACTGTATTGTACAATGAAATTTGCTAAAAGAGTAGAACTGAAATGTCCTCACCAAAAAAAAGGAGGGGAGGGAGAAAAATATATATGTTTAACTCAGATTAGAGTTAAATAGCTAATCTCCTTAATATGTAAAGAAACTCTCTACAAATAAAGGAAAAGTTCCATAATTCAATAGAAAGATGTGGTGAAGGATAAGAAAAGAGTGTTCACAGTACAGAAAATAAAAATGTCTCAAACATATGAACAAATGCTTTGCCTCACCCGTAATAACAGAAATGTACGTTGAAACTATGCTTACCTTTTTCTTTGTACAAATCACATTGGCAAACATATGAACAGACACTCAGCCTCACTCACAATGATAGAAACGTACTTTAAAACAATGCCTAATTATTATTTTCTACCAGTTTGGCAAAATCCTGAAAGTTAGATAAACTACAGTATTAATGAGGCAATATATGATGAATACAATTTTTAAAAAGCCTTAACTAAATGTATAAAAATAAATATGTGATAACCAAGTAGAATTTATCCTGGGAACGCAAGGATGGTTAAATATTAGAAAAATCTATTAAAATAGCTCACTACATTAATAGACTAAAGAAGTAAAACATGACTATCAAAATACATGCATAAAATTTCTAAAAATTTAGTTTGTTAGCAAACTAGGAATAAATGAGATATCTCTTAAGTGTAATAGATATCTATTGCAAAACCAAAGCAAACATCATAGCTAACGGTGAAATACTAAAAGACTCTCTTTCAAATCAGGTAGAAGACAAGCATGACTGCTATTCACATTTTCTATTCAACATTATGTGGAGGTGCTAGACTATGCAAAAAGTCCAGGAAAAGAAATAAAGCGTAGAAGGATATTTAAGGAAAGAATAAAGCTATTGTTCAAAATCTAATTTTCTACATAGAAAACCTAGGAGAATATATACATAAACAATCAGAACTCATAAGCTTGTTCAACAACAAGCTTGCCGGATACAAAATCAATATGGGAAATAAAATGGCATTTCTGTATGTTAGCAAAAAACCCCGTTATTTTAAAAGTTATTTAGAATACCAACAAAAACTATAGGGCAGGTAGTAATAAATGTATAAAAAGATGTGAAAGATCTTGATGTAAAAGCTATAACATATTATTGAAGGGCATAAATAAAACCCTAAATTAATGGAGAGAAATATTGTGTTCATGGGTGGATGACAGTATTACTAGTATCACAAAAATGGAATTCCAATAAAAAAATCAAAGGAACTTCTCTTTTGATCTTGATAAGCATATTCAAAATTTATATGGAAGAGCAAAGGGTAAAGATTGGCCATGATATTTGTGAAGAAGAACCAGAAGGAGGGATTTGCCCTACCAGAAATCAAGTCTTCTTGTAAAGCTATGTTAGTTAAAACAATGTGAAATTGGTACCATAAACAAATAGAACAGTGAGTGAAACACCTAGAAACAGATCCAATATAAACAGGCAATTGATATAAAAAATCAGTGTGCAGACAAGGGATAGACTAATCAGTAAGTGATGTTAGGATAATCAATATTAATATTAAAAAATAAAATTAGAAAACTATACAAAAATACATTCCAGGTAGCTTAAAGACACAAATATGAAAAGCAAACATTAATAATTTGAAAATAAAATACGGGGGCTGGCCCAGGGGTGTAATGGGTAAGTTCACATGCTCTGCTTTGGTGGCCCAGGGTTCACGGGTTTGGATCCTTGGCACGGACCTACACACCGCTGGTTGGGCCATGGGGTGGTGGTATCCCACATACAAAATAGGGGAAGATTGGCACAGATGTTAGCTCAGGGACAATCTTCCTCAAGCAAAAAGAGGAAGATCAGCAACAGATATTAGCTCAGGGCCAGTCTTCTTGACCAATAAATAAATAAATAGAATAAAATAAAATACAGGAGATTATTTTTATGGTGTTAGGACAAAATTTCTGAAACAGAGTATAAACAGCACAAAGCATTAGAAAAAGACTGCCACATTTTACAACATTTAAACTAAATCAGCATGACAAAAGTCAGGTGGAGACTTCAAAAATATATTTACAACCCACGTAATGAAAAAAGAGTTAGTATCAAGAATATACAAAGAACTCTTACAAATCCATACGAAAATGACAAAGAACCCAAGAGCAAAGGGCAAACTATATAAATAGGCAACCAAGACAGTGTCAAGATGGCAGCATAGGTGGACTCTGAACTCACCTCTTCCCACAGTCACAACAAATTTACAACTGTTCTTGGAACAATGACCCCGAGAGAGAACTGAAAACTGGATAAAAAGAACCCCTGCAACGAGGGACAGTGCTGACTGAGGTAGACGCAGCAGAAACTCTTTTCTGGAGAGAAAAGAGCCACCTTTGAGCCACAGCATTTCATGGCTGGCCAGGAGAAATCTTGAGGTACACAGCCTTCCCTGGAAGAGCGGGGGATCTGAGCAGGAGAGCATTACCACTATAAGCAGCTTTGAGACTCAGCACAACTGAAACGAGTGTCATAATATCAGGCTTCACTGGCTACTAACTACAATGGGGAATACCCCCAGAAAAGATATCAGACATAAGGGGAAAAGGAGCCTGCTCTTAAAGGGCCCACACACTAATTTACCTATTTTGGAAAGCAACCTAAAATTATCAGAAAGAAAGATGCACAGTCCTTTGGTGAAAGGAGACTCACTTGATAGGCTCTGGGTGCATCTGGGTGAGAGGTGAGACCTCCCTAGGGACTGAGACATTGGTGGCAGCCATTATTGTGACCTAGTACAGATGTGCTGACACAGATGTTGGCAGATGCCATTGAAATTCTTCCCCTGGCCTGTTAGTTCCCCCACTCACTAGAGCATGGATTTAATCCAGTTCAGCCAGGACAGGCAGTCTGCCCTAGGGACTGGTCCCACCCAACAGCAAGCCCTTGGGTAACTTGTGTGCCCGCATAGGTGGGGTGAGTGGAACCTCTGCAGCTGGATGAGTAGGTCCACCTCTGCGGG